TGGGCAACAATCACATGTAGTTTGGACACGTGTTTCCATGCCTACCTGTGCCTCACTGTAAGACAAACTCATCCCCCTTCACTCTTAGCACAGGTGCAAATGAGATCTCTGCCAGGGCTCTTCTACTCTTCCACCTTTTACAGCTTCTCACCTCCCACTCAGCTCTGACCTCAGCAGAGAAGGGATTTGAAGCATTTGAAGATACCGTTGGATTCGGGATCTATATGGAACCTCAGCAAAGTGAGTGTCTAAGTAGGAGCCAAGGTGCTGTTTTTGTTACTTTACTGTCCTGCTGTTTCTAGCATCAGCCTTGCAGATATTACAGTCGCAAATACCATACTTGTACTTTTATCTCCTGAAGTTTGTACTTTTTAAAAGCTAATTTTAATTCTAAGACATTATTGTCTGTGTCAACTATTCTATCACAGAACTTATCAACTGTAAAGTTTGAGGGAACACTGCCTTTTTTCTTGATGCTTCATCTGCAACTGAGAGAAGCAAAGGGGTGCTTTGGCTGTCCTGCTGCTGCTCTCTCAGGCCAGTTGTCTTCTTTCCTATTTCTCAAGGAAAAAAAATCTTATTTAACTCACACCAATGGATAAAGTGGAGCAGCATCATTTTTTTCTGCTACTGTAGCACATGCTGTAGCATATAAAACTTTCCTGCTTCTCTCTAGATGGGAGTCCCTAGGAGTAAGTTCCTTCCTAAGGCTTGCAGAGCAGCCTGGGGCAGTTCCTGACTGATTTGGACACCTGGACACAGATCCCCATTCTGCATCCTGCCCTGAAGACTTCACCGGATGAACCAATAGCCACAAACTCAAAGCACAGGTATCGGATGGTAAATCTTTCACCATGGTCTCTTTTATATTTATTTATTTTTAAATTTAAGCATATTTTCTATTCTAGTTTATGCTGCTATTAGCTCAATTTCTACTTAAAATACCGCATACATGATCAGACTTCAATTATGCAAAAGGAGTCCTTACAGCACATGTCAGCACAGCTTCAGCTCTTTGGAGCAGCACAGAGCAATCCCTGTTTCTGGAGTTCAGGGGGGTGTCTGTTAATCTCCCCACTGGTTTATGGGGTTCCTGGTAACACATATGGGTTTGTGAGCCCACACCTGTCTCATAAGGGCCAATAAGATTCATAACTTAAAAAGCAAATGGACAGAAGGATCTCATGATGTTAGCTGAAATCCCAAGTGCTCCATTTTCCTAATTTCACAGAACCATGGAATCATTAAGCCTGGAAAAGCCCTCTGAGATCCCCAAGCCCAACTCCCCTATGCCCACTGCCCACATCCCTCAGTACCACATCACCATGGCTCTGGGACACCCCCAAGTACAGTGATCCCCCCACCCTCTGGGCAGATGTGCCAGTATCTGATCTGATTTTGTATTAATGCCATTCACTATAGCATAAATTACTGAATATCTGTAAAAGGAACAGCAAGTGTGAGACAAGCGGGTGTTGTCAGCAACTGAAACTAAGAACAGCTGTCCCAGGGTGGGATCGACACTAACAGTGTAAGCAAGATACTGAAAAAGACTTGTTTCTAGATATTTTTAACTGTAGTTCATTATGTTGTTTTTTTTTCACACCAGGTTTCCTGCTTGAATCCCGCTCACACACCTCATGCTTGTCACCTGTACTGTAGTTCTGCTCTGTTCTGCAGTAACTGCCTTCCTCTGGGCTGGAACACAAAAGAAGACCTTGTGAAAACAGTCACCATTTCTGGGTACTTGCAGTGCCTTTTCTTTTTTTTTTCCACGTGGGTTAATATAGCTTCATGGTTATTTCTGGGAAGCAGCTACTGACAGCCGGATGGTCTTTGTCATATGCTGAGAATTATCTGCCTGCTTGGGCAAGATTTGTTCTGTCACTTCGGGGCCATCGTGCCTCCCTCTGACGGGACGAGGATTTCATTCCAGCCTCTCTTGGGCCTTCCCTGTTTCTCCCCACCTTCCCCCCAGCCCCAAGACAGCAACCACATATCAACAATTAAGTGGGCAGCTGAGTGCTGGGGTACCTGTTTGTGAACACAGTGAAGACACTCCTGTGCCCAAGCAATTAATTTCACATTATGGGGATGTTTTTTTTCAGGTGTCTTTCTGTAGCAACGTTGGTCCAAAGAACTACAACTTCTGTTGGCCTGAAACTCCATGGATGTGTTAAGCATGGAAACACAAATTGTCCTTTTAGCCACAATTAAACAAAGTAATACTAGGATAATCCTTTATTTTTCAGGGGTAAATGTTCACTTCTTTTCCCTCAGAAGCAGAGAGGAACTTCCAGAACTGATCACAGGTAATGGCAGACTCCAATACTTCTTGTTATTTTTATGATGTTTTCTCATCCCAGGAAAAAAATCAGAAGCAACAAATTCTTTTCCTGGAACTGAAATATATATATATATATAATATATATATATTTTTTTAAACCAGAAAATTGCCTTTCTTTCCAAACAAACAAACAAAAAAAGCCTTAAAGATCTGTCATTGGAGGAGCTGAGAACTCCTGAAGTAAGATTACTGGAGATGCCCCTCCTCTAGACCTCTTCCCTTGGCTGTAACGTCTGAGAAGGCTTCAGTTGCTTGGATGGCTCTCAGTTGTGCCAGGTTCTGCTGCTTCTTTCTGTACCTGATTACACACCTGCATGAGTTCACTTACTGTTAAGTAAACGTCAAGTGGAATCACATGTGTAGAAGTTATATATATATATATTTTTTTTTTTTAACAAGGAGCATTTATTCTTCCATGTTCCTAGGATGCACGGCTGCTTGCTGTAGCTCCTGCCAACCTGCACTACTGCTTCCCTGGGGTTTGTCTGCAGGAAGGAGAATCACACAATCACAGAATGGTTGGGTTGGAAGGGACCTCAAGGATCATGAAGCTCCAACCCCCTGCCACAGGCAGGGCCACCAACCTCCACATTTCACAGCAGCCCAGGCTGCCCAGGGCCCCATCCAACCTGGCCTTGAACACCTCCAGGGATGGACGGGGCATCACAGCCTCTCTGGGCAGCTGTTCCAGCACCTCACCACTCATAGGAAAGAACTTCCCCTGACATCCAACCTAAATCTTCCCTCCTTCAACTTCAAACCATTTCCCCTTGTCCTGCAGTTACCAATCCTTTCAAAGAGTTGATTCCCCTCCTGTTTATAGGCTCCCTTTAGCTATTTAAAGGAGTGGGGGGTCCCACTCTGCAGTGCCACTGCGCTGGGCTGTGCACACAGTATGGAAAGGGAAACCCTTCCTGTTCTCCACGGGGATGGAAATGGATGATCTTTAAGGTCTCTTCCAACCTATGCCATTCTCTGATTCTGTACCTTTTCTGGAATAGAAATTTTCAGAAAGATCAGTTCTATTTTTTTTTTTTTTTGTAGCTTTGTATTTTATTTTATTTCTGTTCTAAATCCTTGGCCCTTATCTCCTGTTGCAATAGCATTCAATTACAGCCAAATTCTTATGTCACAGCAGGTAAAAATGTGAGAGAAGGAATCTCTCCAGCCCGTGTTTTGTAGGGGCTGCTTGCAGTCAAATGGAATCTCTGATTTTTTTAAAGCAACAACAAAAACTTCTTTCATAAAGAAATAAATATGAATAATAAGTAAATAAAGAGCAAAACCCAGGATCGAGAGAAGGGAACTGGAGGCCTGACTTACCCCTGCTCAGCTCTCAACTGCACATTAAATAGCAAGTGCTGCCACTTCAGCTCACTGCGGTTTATTCATTTGCAGCTCACGTTCGAGCCTGCAGCAGACGTTGGTGGGACTTTTCCAGCACATGGGCAGCACGTGGCAGCAGCACTGACAGCACCGCACCGTGTGGCAGCAAACAGCTCCAGCTCTGACCTCTGCTTCTGAGCCTAGAGCAGGTACATGATGGCTCTGCTTTCCCCACCAGCCCCAGCCCCCAGAGCACACTGCTGCCAGCTGCCACATCGCGGCTGCCGCTCCGTTGGCTTTTTGGAAGCCTTGAGCGTTCTTCCAGAGCTTTCTGGACGTCGGTTTAAACTGAGCTTGCAGTGAATTTGGAGCTAAGTTACCTGTTTACGTGTTTTGGGGTTTTGTAAATCAGCACTGAATCGAAGGCACTCCATTACTGGGTTCTCAGGGCATCCTGTGACTGAGGGCTCGCTGCTGGTGCTGCTGGTGGTGCTGCCACAGACCACAGTGAGGGGCCTGGACGCCGTGTCCTGGTGTGGCTCCGTGCCCGGGTTCCACCAGCTAAAGCCCGGCTGCCGGCAGCTCCCAACTTACCTGCAGATGCTACCCGCGTTCGTGGGGACCAACTAAGGGCAGGACCCAGGCTTGTGGGCTGAGCTGCAAACTCACTTGGCCTTGGTGCCTTTAATTCAACGTTATGGCAGTTGGTTGCTATTAAATTTGAGAGCCGTGCCCACGGCCCGATTTAAGCCTGGGCGTCCCAGCGTGCTTGGCGTTTTGCAATGAGAGGAGACAGTCCCTGCCCCGAAGAGAACATCACAGGAACTTTTTTTTCTGGTGATTTAATCATAATATTGACAGCTTTATCAAAAATTACAAAACTGATATTAAAAAAATTTCTAATTCTTAGTAAGACTAGAATGGGTTTCTTTTTTAAAAATAGAAAAGCACTTTTATGCTACTGCTCTTCTGGAATTCTCACATTACAACCCTACATAGCAAAATACAAATGTAGCTAAGAAAGGTAGCAGGCCTAAGGTACTTCAGTCCACCACGAGCCCTCTAACAACTTCTATACCATCAAACTCAGGGACTCCAAAAGGGTATCACAGTACTTAGAAACCTTCTGCAAAACTCAGTTAGGAAATACCTGGTAATGTTACGTTCCTTCTAACCCCGAAATCCTTAGACTGTGAGTATGAGAACCTGGGACAGCAGAGGTGGGAATTACTATTTTTTTCCTTCAGTGAATATTACTTTTGCAGCTGATTCCAGCAAAACATTCTCTGCAAGAAGTGAAAATATGAAGAAAATCCAAAAAAAAAAATTATTTTTTTTTTTTTTTTTTTTTTTTTTTTTTTTATGGTGTTCACAAAATGCACCATAACAGAAAGAGGAATAATTTCCTTTCATCGGAACACCCCAACCGCGCCGGCACCGCGGAGCGGAGGAGCAATAAATAAATAAATAGTGGGAGCCACGGCTCCGCGGGGCGGTTCTGTGTCACTGTGCCACGGACGGACAAAAGCCTCCTTCCACTTTCCACAATGGAGTTTTTCTTTTTCTTTCTTTCTTTCTTTTTTTTTTTTTTTTTTTTTTCTTTTTCACCTTTTAAATATAGGAATTCTCTCTTAAATTAGAAAGTAGGCAAAAAGTATTATTCTTAATTTTTTTTTTTCTTTTTTTTTTAAAGTTTCATTTTAAGTCTTCTATTAGAAAAAATAGAGATTTATTAAACAAAAAATAATAAGGTAGAAAGAAGGGTTGGGCCTCCATCAAAAAAGTATATTAGGCTTTAATGCAAAGAGAAAGAAATGGCTCTATGGGCAAAATTCAAGTATGAGTGACCAGTTTTTTAATCGTAAAGTAGGTGCAACATTTTTTAAAATGTTACAACACCGCATGACCTGTAATGCTCACAATATTTACATTAACTGCTTACATGAAACCAGAAAAACTCTAAAAGAGAGAAAAAAAATATGGTATGGACTGAAACAAGCTACTCCTAGCACCCACATCAATGCCATTATTAACCAATGAAATCAAGTGCACAAAAATACTTTACATGGTCTACTGATGTAAAGTATACAGTGGTGAGGAAGTACAAACCTAAGGAGTTAGATGCCAAAAGAAGGTTGCTCGATACAAACTCCGCTCTAGGACAGAAAGCAAAGGCAGAACCCAACCGAACGGAGCCAGGCACGCACGCAGGCAGGCGCACACCGCGGCGTGGCCGTCCGACACAGGCGGGACACACGGCAGCAAAGCGGGCTGCGATGGGAACGGACAGCGTCAATCTTGGAACGTAACGAACACGTCGACTCGCAACAGAAAAATGCCAACTAAGCTACGCAAAAAGAAAAAAAACAATCACTCCACATGAGTTTGCATGTAGGACCGTGGCGTTACACACATGACAAATGAACCTACCCCGCGGAAGGAAGGGCTCCTGCTCCAGGCCCCTGTAGCCAGTGTAGCTATTGCGATCCCTCGGGCTGGGGAAGGAGGAGAAAGAGCTGTTTGGTGAGACACGAGGAAGCGGTGAGCCCGGAGGGACTGCTCTGTGCTGGAGCCCTGGGGGCCGGGTCCTCGGGGTCAGCTGGCCTCTGCCACAGGCTGCGTGCAGGGCCGCTGCTCCCGGAGCCAACGGGATGCTGACTGCTGCCAGTGCTGGGCCGGGGGAGGACAGAGGGGAGCTCTGGCTGTGCCCGGGGGCCAGCGGTGACCTGGGAGCAATTTCAAGAAGCCCTGAGGACAGAGGGTGTCACTGCTTCCATCGCCATCACCACCATCCACGTGAAAAATGTATGAGCTAGAATGGAAATAACGTTGTGCTACACTTCTGTTCGTTAATTTATAATGGCTCATAGCTTTAGACTTTTAAATCTGTAGTGTATTAATTTTTTTTTCTACATTTGTTTCACATTTCTCACTTAATATAACATAAATAATTTGGTTAATAGATTTAACCTGCACATTTCAGCCACATTAATATATATAAGAAATCTGTTAATGGTATAAATAATTCTTTTTAAATAAAATAAATCTGATATGTTACATAATACTGATAAAAATTACTGCTGCTAATAGTTCTGTAAGCCACCCCTGATTTTCTGTTTCAGGACTGTGAGATGGGTCTGGGATTACCTCTCTGAGGGCTGGGAGCATGCTGTGCGTTCTGCAAAACCAATCTGCAGCCAGCACCAGTCACGGGTTGGAGCCCCATTAACAGCCAACGCGATGCTTCACAATGTCAGGTAATTTCAGCTAATCAACCTAGGTGCTTGGGGTCAGGGTTACTGGGGATAGAAACTCTTTACTTTAGCAGGTGGCTATGAAACCTTAACTACAGAAATAGCTGACTAAAATAGCCCATCTACTTTTTTTTTTTTTTTCTTTAATAAAATCTACACCATTCTACTTTAAAAGTTAAGTAAATAAAAATGCAACCAACAGTTGCAGCCTTTGAATCATTACTTAGAGCTGTGATCCCACATCCCATTAGGAATCTGCAAGGTTGCACTCTCCTACAGAGACCTGAAATGGAGTACAGTACTTCCAGGCAAGGTTCATTCCAAACAGACAGGATAAATGGACACTCAGTGGCGTGAAGTGTATGTCATAATTAAGGTATTACATAATCATGCCTTCTCTCTGCTGTTAAATACAAAAACAGCATCTTTTACATTATCATATAAAAGCATTTAGGCTGTATTTTTATTTATCACTTTACACTGGTAGTCTCTTGTATGTGTACTCAATAGAAACCAAAGAATTTTGTACACTATTTTTTTGTACAATAAAAGATAAAGTGTGCATTAGGTACGCTTGTACATGACAATATTGTACAATATTTACATTTCAGATATCACCATGAAATTCTGTATTATCTATATACACAATGAAAATTTCTCAGAAACATTTGGACTATTCCTTATAATCACAATTTTAGTATTATAGAAAAAAAAACAAAAAAACAAAAAAACCCCTCAGTAATCATCTGACATGGTTACTGTAACCTTCCCAGATTTCTGATTGGCTTTTCCAGCAACCTCTCTCCCTCCTGCTCATCCACACACTGTACCACACTCCACGTAGCACCCCGCGGCGGCGGCCGTCTTCATATAAATATTGATATAACCACGTCTATATCAATACCTACATACAGACTTATGTGCACGTTCGTTTTGATAAGTACTGGACCAGTAACAAAGACATTCAATGTTATCTAGAGATCTTCCTCCTCTTGGGTTTTGGAGGCTTCACTTGTCTGTCTCCCTGTGGGATTTGGTGGACCTAGAAATAAGTACAGTCACAGGTTAGTGAAGAAGATTGGTCAGAGTAACCAGCCAAAAGCAAACGAGCCGTGGACTGCTGAGATGCTGCTCAGCTGCCCTTATGGAATCATTAAGGCTGGAAAAGCCCTCTCAGATCCCCATGCCCACCCCCACCCACCCCCCCATGCCCACTGCTCACATCCCTCAGTGCCACATCCCCACAGCTCTGGGACACCCCCAGGGATGGTGACCCCCCACTCCCTGCGCAGCTGTGCCACTGCCTGACTGCTCTTTGGAGACAAAATTGTTCCTCATAGCCAACCTGACCCTCCCTGGAACAACTTGAGGTTGGTTCCACAACCTCACAGCCCCGGGGAGAAGAAGGCAGCTCCTGGCTGCCGCAGTCTGTGTGCCCCAAAGCTCTGGGACCTCAGGGAAAGTGGCAACTGAACTGAGACTGCAGTTGCACCACATTCTGTGACACAAATCTTTATCAATCATTTGACAGTAGCAATTAATTAAAAATTATATGTTGAGAAAATACTGGCAACGTGAAAAAAAACTACCAAACTCAGGATGGCAGTAGCATTACTAAGGAAGAAGCTCTGATCACCAAGCTGTTTCCCACTCATCACTATGTGCAATACTCCAGTTTGAGCTCGGTGCTGGATGAAGCACTGCTGAGTGCTCAGCACAAGCACAGCGCTGCCAGAAGGGCCATGGAGTGCCACCACCATCTGCTGGCAGCTGCAGCTCCTGGCCACAGCTGGGCAGAGGCTGCACAGCCCCAAGCAGTGCTGTCAGTCGCCTCCTGGCTCCTTCCTGAACGCCTTCAGACCATGACCATTTGCTGCTCATTTACTGGCTCTTCCCAGCAGAAATGATGATTTAAGCTCATTATCTTGTTTGCACGCTTAAAGTGTAACCGATGACTGAACTGCAGGAGCTGAAAAAAATGCAAGTCACCAGAAAGGGAATCATTGATTCCCTATGATTGTTTCTAAGGATCATCGTTTTCGTGGAAATAAACCCTGATTACAAATTCTGGGACCAGATAATTGAAATATAAATCAAGACTAAGCAGTGACATGCAGGCTGATGGAGCAGCTTGTCCGCATCCATCAGCATATCCTGCTGCAGTGCCTTCACCTGAGCCAGTCTGTATCACAATCAACTGTGTATTACTTATAATTTTATAGCATTGCTGCATTTAGATACGAAGGCAGGGTAACTGTCACCAGCAGGATGGTGCTGCCATAACTGACAGTAGGGATGCACGTGCTGTATGCAGCCCCAACTATTTGCACCAGACCTGCAGTCAGATCCAGCTTTCACATCAGAACTCAAGCTCGCTTCATAAAATTCCCAAGTTTCACCAAAAGCTTTGGATTTGTTATTACTTATGGCAACCACTAAGAGCTGCTGAATAATTTATTTAATATTTCGTGGTGGTTCTGAAGTCAGCTCCACGTCTGCAGTTCAGAACAGATTTCCTTTTATGTCCTCCAGCAGCTCCCGTGAAGCCTTACTCATTCTCCCAAGTATGCATGTGTACACGCGTCCCCAGCAATGAGCGCCGGCTATCGGGAGAAAGAAATTATTCTGCATTCAAACAATGTATAAATTAATAACTATAAGAATTGCTGATGCTAAGATCGGGGAGGCTGTACTGAGAGACACTTCTTTGCATTTCTATGTTTGTCTTAAAGACACTGCAGGCATGTTTCAAATACGAAGATGAGCACACTGTGCTGCATGTGGCTCTGGGCAGCCTGGTCTGGTGGCTGGCGACCCTGCACACAGCAGGGGGTTGAAACTGGATGAGCACTGTGGTAATTACAACCCAGGCCGCCCTATGATTCTATGATTGTGATTAGATACACAATTCTATGATTACGTGAGCCAAATTTTATCCTATTTCTTGATCTTATACAATAACAGCGTGAATGTTTTTATAAGGGTTCTGCTGGCCGTGATGTCAGGAAGATTCTACCTTACCTGTCAGGACAGCTTCCGTGTCAACATATGGAGAATGTCTGACACAAAAAAGAACCATGTTTTTAAGTGTGGTTTCAATGAATGAGGCTGACTTGTCAGCAGCCAGAGACAGCCCCACAGCGTGTGGCACCCAGAAGCTGTCAGCTGCACGTGGAACTACATGCAGGCATTCAGCTCTTAAAAAGCACTGCAACTGCAAGACCACTGAAATGATGCACCTTTTCCTCATTTTTCAGAAGGACCAGACATTTGCAAATAGTTTGAAAGGCAAGAAAAATATTGACAGCAGCTCCACATCATTTTACAAACTGAAAAGAATCTCTCTCTTAGAAAGGAACCCCAACCAGCAATCCCAGCCCTCAGCAGACACACACACACAAACAGAGAAAAGGGACACGATTATTGCCAACGTGAAAAGAAACTTACATTCCCAGACATTTTGTCTAGTTCACTCATGGCCTCATGTATAGCAGCTTCTAAATGGTTATTTAGCTTTCCACTTCTAGGAAGAAAAGATTAATGGCATCAGTAATTCTTAGTAGCAGAAAAACACTTAAAATTAATAATAAAGACATTAACTCATCAGACACAGTCTGGCATCCGCAGAGCCTCCCAGGTTGGTGCAGCACAAACAGCACATTCGGATCTATAAATAACATGATGCTGGCTAAAGGCTTGTGTTAGAATTACAGAGGAAAAATAGAAGACAGCACTTCGGCGACATGTACTGTTAGTTACAGCATCCACAAGACAAATGGCATCGTGGAGAACAAGAGCACTTGGCAGTAACCCAGCATTCCGTGCAATCTGGTGTTGGGTCTTTCCTATAGAACATCAGCATCCCTCAGACCACAGAAATTGTAAGATGAACTGAAACGGACTCATACAAAGCCACACATATCCAGGTGGGTTTCTGACTCCCTGCAGCTGGACTGCAAAAACAAGTGTAGGTTTGGCAGTGTGGACAAGTGATGGCAACTTTGGATGCGATAAATGACAGCACAATATTGTTTGGTAACTTCCTGGACAGGTAATGCAACAATTAACAATTCCATCTATAATACAGCCTCATTAATATCTGATAGCAATGCTGAGTTTAATGTCATTTAGCAGCAGCTTTCAGATCTCAGATTCCTTATGTAACAGGAAGTTATTTAATCACCGCTAAGCTCTGTCAGCAACCCTACATATGTTTTTTCCACATTTTTTCCCTTACTGTTTCAGAATCTCCTTCTTTTTTTTTTTTTTGTCAGATAACTAAAAACCAAACAGTGTTTGGAAACCCAAACCAAAATACTTTTTCATAATATTTCCCCAAAATTGAGTTAATAGAAGTCAATTCCAAACAGCACTGATGAGCTCCGTTCTACAAAATGTCCCCAGTGAATGGCATTAGGTAAGGACAGATGTGCCTGCACAAACAACCTGCACTGCTCAGAGCTTCCAATGAAAGCTAGAAGGAACTGCAACACTTCATTCTACAGGTATGCACACTGCTACAGCTTTTGCAGCAGCAAAAATCCTGCGCTGACACTGTAAGTTTGAATTTGTGCTTCAACACATTAGCATTGGAGGTGATTCAGCAAGAAACCGCTGGGATATTCAGTGTCCAGCAGCATTTCAGTAGTAACCAGTTCTAACACGATGCTGGCGAACACTGAAATGGCACAGAACACTTCCACTCTTTCCCTATTAAAAGGATCAGGGTGTAGTTTTTTACTGGGGATGTGGCTTTTTCTTTTTTTTCCCCCATAAACACAATAGGAAGTATGGCAAAGCAAAAAATGACTGATGTGACTTCATCTAGGCTGATGTTCACTGTCACTAGCACTAGCAATTAAAATAACCAAAGCAATATTACATAGGAGGTTGATTTCTTCATGTGTTGCCTTTGGGTAGAAGCTTGGCTAGACGACTGCTTGAGGTCTTTTCCACCCCCACTAGATGCTCATGTAATTACTGCCAGTAGTGCCAACAGCCTTTTTAAAGTATTTGATATACAAACGATGACATGCAGTCTTAAGACGCTGCTGCTACGTATTTTTAATAGCAACACTTCACTATGAAGATAATGAACTGCCCTCAAGCGAGCCAATGTTTCAGAAAGGCCCTTCACTGAGATATCATTTACAGCAGGCAACACCCTGACAACCAGAAAACCTGACATCAGTTGAACATATGCAACAGGTTGCCTGTGATCAGAAACAACCTGCAAGCACCACAGCGTTTGAGGCGGAGAGCTTAAAGTCTTAATAGAATCATTAAGGATGGAAATGACCTCTAGGATCCCCAAGCCCAGCCCAGCGCCCTCTGCCCACAGCCCTCAGTGCCACCTCCCCACAGCTCTGGGACAGCCCCAGGGTCAATGAGCCCCCATTCCCTGGGCAACTGTGCCACTGCCTGACTGCTCTGTCATAGAAGAAAGCGTTCCTACTAGGTAGGATTTTTTTCCTAATGGTAGGGACACAAAGCACGAAACATCATTTTGAGGATCTGGATGTTGACCTTGCTCTGCTAAAGACACTGAACTGATGTGCTGCTAGTCCATATTTTCTTGGACTTCTTTGCCTGTCTTCTTTATTATAGAAGTGTCCAACTTGATGTTCCAAAATTGTGATCTCATGTAGAATAAGAGGCACAGGCACCACAGCAGACCATAAAGAGGTCGAAAGCTGTTTCAGATACATTCAGCGCAGAGCACAGGTCAAAGAGAAGGAGCTACCCTCTGGTCCACAAAGAGCGAGCAAAACATTTGAAACATAAAATATATAGAAGTAGAAATATGGAGAAAAACCTGTATGGGCTGTGAAGTAACCCTATGAAAAGGAGCACCTGAGGCCCCAAGCTGCTGGGGTACCTGACAGCTGCTGTTTCCTAAAGTGCAAGCAATGATGCAGAACCAGTAATGCCACAAAAAGGCGACTGGGCTCACTGCAATTCTGGTCAACCCTTGCAATCTGCTAAGTAAACAACTGCAAACCAGAAGACGGGAGCTCTTCTTAAATTGCATTGCTTCTTCCAGCTCCAGCTCCTCTTTCCACGTGCTGCTGCTGCCACCTTCCTCAAGTTGTGTATTTTGCTTCAGGGAGCAGCAATAGCTGGGGGTGCCAGCAGCCCTCTGGCTGCTCAGTGCTCGCCCTCAGACTGCACTCGGATGTTCAGAGGATGGCGTTGAAAGAAACCCAACGTTGTCTCGCTGGCATTAAAAATATTTCTCCTAAGCACCGCATGACATATAAATAGAGGAAAAGCTTACACCTTAAAAGGAGCTGAGGGCAAATAATTATTTAATTTCTGAAAGTCTGTGTTTATTGTTCTGAAGGCAGCACTGCAAACTGACTGAATTCTCACAGAGCGATGCGTTTTCACCACAACAGCAAATAAACACCACCATCCCAGAATAACCCCCATCTCTACCCTTGTCCTTTGACAGCCATCAAGATTTTGTTCTCTGAAAGCCAATTTCATTTTCCTCTTTCTGTGTACGCTTATGCTTCACCTCTTCATGTTTCCCAGTCTTTCTATCCTTGCACGTTTGTGAACGAAGGCCAAAAGGTGAGAGGAAACCAAGCAGGTCAGAGGTGTGTGACTGCATGGGAGCTGCTGCCCGGCTAACTGCAGCCAGCCCTGAGCCACTGCCAGAAGCTCCTCTGCAACGTGAAACAACAGAACTCATCCGAATACAGGTGGGCTCTGCCTGCTGCAGCAGCCAACAGAGGGAGAGGGAAGAGATAAGAAGGGCAGATCTTGTGAAAAATTGGATTTGGTCAGAGCAGTTTGGATGTAATAACTTTTTTTTTTTTTTTTTTTTTTTGCTGTAAATTAGAATCCCACACATGAAAGCTCAAACAAGCAGGCTGACATTTTACAAAGGCTACAGTAAATATCAGAAGATGCAATAAAAATGCAGATATCAAAGATCTCGGATGATTATCACAACCAGCACAAGGAATTCAGAAAATTAACTTTTCATTTTGGCAGATCTGCAAGGGTCCCCAAAAGGAGTCCCTGGAAGCAAAAGAATGTGATTATTCATCCCATTGGTAAACAAATGAGCACACACTTACTTTCTGTTCCTTTTCCTGGCTCGGTTGTAAGCTTCTAGACCTTCTGTTAGTGTCTTCAACTTCTCTGGCTCCACCTGAGTGAAGGTATGAACACCAAACCACATTACCCAGACCTGCAATTATCAAACACTGCTTTTACTTTACTGCTAGACATGCATTACTGCGGAGCCTAAAGTTCACCGCATCCGTAAGACACAACGTCCCAGCAAAGAAGAAATCAATGTACAACTATGTGTGCACCCCCTCAGACGCGCATGTATGCATCAGAATTTCTCTCCGTGTCCACACTGCCAATACAAGTGTAAGAACAAAAACACAGCACGTAAGAAAACAAAACTAAGAGGGAAAAGTAATACTTCAGAACACAGTTTGTCTTTACAGCATTAATACAAACATTGCTGTTGAAGCCTCACGTTGTGTACTCACTCCACAGCCACACCTGGTATCCCTGGAGCTCCTCGGATGTGTTACAACAGCACTGTGCCTAATGCACATGGTACAGTTCCAACAGACACCACGACATGAAGGTTTGACATGCCCTCACATTTCAGGTCCCAGCCCAGCAGCGCTGCTGGCACACCCATGCTCCAGCTAAAGGGTTCTGGCCTTGAGGAGGCTGGTGTGCGATGAGAGCTGGTTGTGCATGCTGAGTGAATGACTTCCAACCAGTGCCCGACTAATTCAACCAGCTTGGGGAAGATCTTTCCAATTTTTTGGCCTTAAGCACATGCTTTTAGTGCTCTGCTGAGTCAGTAACAAAGCTGGCTGTGCTGCACAGGGCTGCTGAGCTGGTGTCGAAGGCACTGTAACTGCAAACTTCATTTCTCCCCGGATCAACCAGAATTGTTATCTTCTGAGCAATAAACCACAGCATCTGACCAGTGGTACCAGGCAGTGCTGCTGCAAACAATGCAGACGTGAAAGAAAACCAAAGGCATCGTCTGCAGGACCTTATCATCAAAACATTAATTCCACTCAACTCTTGGTATTGCTTAAATTTGATTCGCAGCCATTTCTGCTTTTAAGAACAACAAAACAGAAGATGTTTAAAACACACCACTTAAAAGAAAATGAGCTGATAAATTCCTTCTTTGGCACACCATTATATTTTGCTGACTTATTTGCATAACATCACAAGAACCTTACGGAGCATTCGTTTCATTAAAAAGTACACCCTGTCTTTTGACACAAAGCAAACTAACTCTGCAAATACCAATTTATTAAGCATGTCTATATACAACCCTGAACGTTAATTTGAACACGACTTGAAACTCAACCTTTCAATTTCTAAATAACTTATCTATTCACAATGGCACTTATTTTAGATGTGACAATCTGATGTTAATGAGTGAGCAAGTTGTCAAAACGCCTGGAAATAATGGCAAATCAAATATGCGTTTAGAGCAATGCTCATGTTTGGAACTCACATATCTGATAACAAAGAGCAGCCACAGCAACCTTAAAGACCAGCAGTTCCTGGTGAGGGTGGCACATAAGGAGGCAAGGCTTCTGCTCTCATGAGACAGGGCTCACCAAGCACAGACTGTGGCACTTCTCCCTTACAGCTATGGTTACTGTTAAAGTGAGGCTGAGTCCTAACGTGGCTCTGTAAAAGCACAAATGCATGCACAGCCTGCTGCAAAGCTGCTGAGTTTTTATGGATAAACAGGAGAGCAGAAAGCACACGTGATGAGAGCAGGCTGGGTGCAGCTGTGATCTGCTGTGGGCTCAGCACTGCCACGCAGCTGGCAGAGGCAGCGCTCCTATCTGAGCTCAGGTTCAGTCCTTCATCTCACAGCACATTTGCAAGAAAAAGCGCTATGGAAAAACACATTTTTCAAACTGAGCAGAATTAAATGGTGGTAATGGGATCATCCTGATGCTTTACACCTGGAACTGCACCATGAGGCAACGCTGTCATGGTTACTCAAGCTGTATGGCATTCTCAGCCATAAAATTTAGATATCTATATGGGTATGTAGAGACAGAGGGACAAACTTTGCAGAGTGCTGGACATGTCTGCCATTAGGTACATGAGAAAGTTCAAATGTAGACATTTGCATGAAGAATTAGCACTGTGTTTGATTAAAAAAGGACTCGTGTTACATTACAAAGAAAAGAATATCTTCCTCATTGGAATTTCATGACAGCATGACAGTAAAACAGAAACAAATCCACCGCCACCCACCAGCACTTTTCTGTAGCAGCAGCACATGGCTAATGGAACACAGTATTATCAGCAACTGTAACAGATACGTTGGGATTAATCACATCACATGCCTTCATTTACAATAACCCATTACAACAGTAAATAATACATACAGATTGGATTTCCAGGACACAGATAAATCACACCTATCTCTAGCACTAGAAAAGCTCAGCTTCCTTGGGGAAATATCTCTACGGGCTGATAAAAGCCCAGTGTTGTATGCCAGTCTATAAGGAATGTTCAGAAGCCGAGTTGTCATGAAGCACCAAAACTTGCTTTCTCCTATTGTGAACTCTTTAGCATCAGGTACTAATTAGCTGTAAAATCTGAGAGAAATTAAGCTGTGCTTTCAAAGAGAGGAGGCTGACTATCAGCGTAGTTCCTGGGCACAAAATAGTGGATAATTATTGCAACTATAAACCCCTCTGTTGAAATGCTGCTTTTAGGCCATTTGACATACATCCATTGCAGCAAAAAGCAAAAATCCCCAGAAGGAAAGCAGCAGCACCTTCCCAGACAGCTTTGCTCAGGAACACAGAGCAGAACTAATGGGAGGCCCCGTGGGGGTCACACCTGTGACATGCATTAATGCACCACTCCAGCTGCTCTGCACACAGAAGTACCATTACATTTACTGCCCACGTTTTTGTAAATGGAAATAAAAATCAAATTAAAGTATGATTTCAAGAACAGAGAACGTAACAACTTACAGTGATACCCTGCAACACAGCTATAGCAATGGTACAGTAGAATAGAATATCCCAGGTTGGAAGGGACCATCGAGTCCAACTCCTGCTTCCACGCAGGGCAGGAAGGGAAGTTAACATTTGATTACACAAATATTTAAAAGGCTATTTAACACAGCTCCTCTGAAAATACAGTTTCCAGAACTGCTGCTAACAGCAATTCCCACCATGAATGACAACATTTCAGGATTTTCTGGAGTGCAGACTTTTGGAGGACTATTTTTTTTCAGGGCAGGTTGCCCAAACACCCAAAGGACGGGGCTGAACACATTGCTACGGGAGCGTGTGGACACTTGCATAGATAGCCACTGTGCATGAGAGTTCAGCTGGAAACACAACTATTGCACAGCACATGCACGTTTTCATACTTTTCTCTTTCATAGCTCCCTGTATCCCACACTTCAACTGACATCCTGACCTCTGAGTGGTCATTCACTCTGCACTTCTTGTTGGAGAGAAGGAGACATAGACACGTTTAGTTATTAGTAAATGAGAGGCCTTCTGATGTGAGAGGTGATCCATGGGCCTTCCTGGAGAAAAACTGAGTCAGTCCCTCTGCTGCATCCCCACGTGTTTGATGGCAAAGTACATTTCCGTGGCGTGGAAGGGATCCATACATTGCTTTCCTGTTGTTTGTGCTTCTGTACACAATTACATCTATACCACTAAATGTTGTGTTACACAGTATGGTCACATAATGCACATAAGAGGCAAAATTAAAGGAAATGTGCACAAAGAGCAATCATACATTCTGGTAACCACAAATTGAGAGAAAAGTTAAAAATGGCTAAGGAATGCAAATGAAAAAAAATGAAGAACAGTTCTTTATAAAGGTTATCAAAAATAAGCTTTTAAAATGTACCAAAACAATCTTATAAATACGGATATGTGAAGCTAACAGAAATGCATACTTTGAGCACACATGCAATGCAAGGATCATAGAATCACAGAATGGCCTGGGTTGCAAAGGAGCACAGTGCTCCCCCAGTTCCAACCCCCTGCTGTGTGCAGGTCACCAACCAGCAGCCCAGGCTGCCCAGAGCCACATCCAGCCTGGCCTTGAATGCCTGCAGGGATGGGGCATCCACAGCCTCCTTGGGCAACCTGTGCCAGTGCCTCACCACCCTGTGTGTGAAAAACTTCCTCCTCATATCCAACCTAGACCTTCCCTGTCTCAGTTTAAAGCCATTCCCCCTTGTCCTATCACTGTCCACCCTCACAAACAGCCGTTCCCCTTCCTGTTTATGTGCTCCCTTCAAATACTGGAAGGCCGTATTCATCATTTCTATGGGACAGCATCACTGCTCACCTCCTCCTTCTTCCAGTTTCAGTCTTTCGCACTTTGTGACCTATCTCATTTGCTAATACTCTTAATAAGAGCGATCTTCAACTTGGTGATCCAACCTTTATAAGGAACGAGCTGTTCAGCACACCAGTCCTGTTAGTAAGCATGCTGAGTGCTCTGAAGTGAATATTTTTGTTTCATGTACTCAAACGGGAGCTCTGAAACCGCTCTGCCTAAGGAGAACAAGGAAGAAGCCAAGTTCTGTTGAACTAAGCTTGAAGCCATCCTGGCCAGGCAATGCTCCAATTACTTATACTACCAATTCCTCTAGAATTGGGATTGTTGGAGGAAATTATGTTTGTGCATCAGCCTCAGATAACTCTATGGGCAGTGCAGGGAGAACAGCTATGGTTACAACAGACAGCAGATGGGGCTCAGAAGTTCCTGAGCTGCACTCTGGTGGGATGCAGAGGCTGATGGTGGAGAGCTCCTCACCCTGTCCTTGTAGTCTCTGCTGGACAGCTGCTGCTGGACACTTCTAGGGTAAGGGAGTACTTTGGTCCAACCTACTGTGGCCTTTCTTACGTTTTTATGACTGCTGTCATGCAATCCAACAGGCATGAGTATATGAAAATACTAAATTTTCAAGTGGTTTGCATTCTTTGTGCCCGAGGTAAAATGTTTTGTAAGGTCTTTCTTTTCTACTTACTAATTTCTTAAATTTGCTTTTTTTTTTTTTTTTTTCAAATTGGCACTTAGAAAACATTTACATAAGGAAGATATGAAACAGATTGGGAAAGCCACAAAAACATGATTTTATACACCCAGCATAGACTAGAATTTGAAATATTCTCATACCTTCTCTGACAAGCACACAATTGGTTTTCAAAACTCTGGATTTTACGACAAAAGAGCAAATTAAAAAGCTTTCCCTGCTGTAAGATATTGCAGACCTCCTTTCAGGACGAAGGTACCCATGCATTTCATCACAGAGCTTATGTATCACTCAGCACAGCTTTTCTTATTACAGACTCCTCACTCCCATTAGATCACACTTTTCCTTTTTGCAGTTCCAACCACTTTTAGATGTCACACTCCTTACGCATTCAATCTGTTCTTTTGGACACAGCTATAGTTCAGCTATAGACACACGTGTTAGGCTAACAATTTTTTCTTGAAGATCTCTTTTGTGTAGCAAGCCTTTGGTGCATAAACCAGTTAGGGAAGCATCATCAAGCCAAAATATGGCCAGAAATTTTGCAATAGATAACTAGGTACAAACTCAGTTCTGCAAGATATAGCACAAAGAAAAAAATTATACTATTAAAATAAGACAAAGAAAAAAATAAAGAACTGAGATAGAGGTTGGATACACATCTGTATAAGCATTAGGACACACGGGCATGTAAACAGACAGATAGATAGATATGTGCATATATATATAAATATACCTTCCCCTCCTCAGCGTTTTGTTGACATGAATTGTGAACGTCTTCTTCTCTTACTAGCTTTCCAGGCCATGAAGTCAGTCCTTTGATTTGGCCCCAGACCAAGTCGCCAACATTAAACGTCCTCGGCCTGTAATGTATCAGCTCATTGGAAGAAGGGGAATCTGGATTCCTTAGGTCATCTTCACTACTGATGCTTTTAGCATCTGAAGGGCTAGGCACACACCCATTAATGCTTTTGGCATTAAAATCTCCATTGTAATGGATGTAGTCTTTAACTAACGAACTTTCCAAACTATTTGAGGAGCTCGGAGATTGCTCTTCCAGAATCAGGTCTTGTTTAGAAGTGTTCAGCAACTCCCCGTATCCTCTGTTCTGCTGAGGCCTATTTCCATTTATGTGTGCACATCGTTCCACAGTGTTCTCCAGTCTTTCCTTAAAACTCATCATAGTTCTTTTGTAATTGTTATACCTGAAATTCTCCTCCAACATTTTATCACTTTGACAGTTTCGCTGTGATAACAGTATCTGATGCTGCTCGCCTTGCAATAATGGCAGTGTGGAGATGTTGTTGGGCCTTTCGTGACAAGGACTACTATGGATATGGGTGGAGTGGTCTAGAAACTCCTCACATTTCCACCTATTTATCTCACTGACAGGACTTTGCTCCCCTTCCCACTGTTTTTTGGGCGTGTTACAACTTGTTGGTTTGTAATATTCATACCCATCCCCTTCAGTTGAATTTTTACCATGCTCTGAATTCTTCAGTACTCGCGTTCCTCTAGTGTTCCTTATCCTACCTTCGTGATCAGAAACAGCAATGTTTCTTCCATGGATTACTGCACTGACAGCACTAGAGAGATTTAGCGGGTCACCAATTGAGGCTGTGAAGGCACTCATGGCACTCAAAGCTGGAATGGGACTCATTTGTGTGGTACTGCTAACAGCAGTGGTGATCACTACTTGCATTCCCTTGCTTGCAGCATCTACGACTGCTTTGTAGATCGCATCCACTGATGTATCACCCTGAGCAGCGACATTGAGGTTATCCTTTGCCTGTTGACCAAGAGCTGGTTCAGTTCTTTGCTGCAAATCACAAGATGTTTCTTGGAAAGGAGGAAGCATAGCGTTGGAGCTCTCAGGAACCGGTGCCATTCCCATCTGAGTGATCATTCTTTTGTTTAGGGCAGCAGCATCTTCCTGCATTCTCACCTGAAAAAAGTAGAGAGAAAGATGGAAATTGCTACTGTGCTTAAAATTCCACTTCAACAGAAAACTGTCTCATTTTAATTAGAAAAAAATGGAAATGACACAACCTACCACTGAGCCTATGTTCTCAACTCCTTTTTCAGAGTCTTTTTAGAGGCTCCCCCCTTTTCTCTCCCAAATCTTCAACAATACCACAAAGTACTTCAATATTTCTGTTCTCAACTGTTCTGTTTTGCTCCTCTTCAGACCCCCGAATTTTCTTTGGCCCTCCCTACCAGCGGTTCCCTCTGGGCTCCCTCTACATCCCTCCTTCTGTTTCTGGAATGTAGGCCATCACTGTTCTTTTTTGACTGACTAGCATTTCTGTTCTCTGCCTTTCAGTCATGTGCTTCTCTCATGGGATGCCTTTCCTTCAGACCCGTGTAAACCATTCCTGCACCCCTCAGTATTGCATCTGTAATGTCAGGCACGGCCACAGCAAACTGCGACCTTCAGATGGAAGTAACTGTGTGTTTTATATTTCTAGTCACACATGTAGGCAGTGAGGACGCTGCCACTAATACTGCTGCAACCAAAAAAAATGCTTCAAACAAGGGCAAAATATTTCCAAAAGCTCCCTTAAGTACTTACCACTACTATTTATATAACTGAAGCAACAAAAATACTGAGATGAAGCTATGAGAATTCATTCACAAACCAAGGGAGGTAACAGGCGGTTAGAGGACTGATTTTGCAGTAGCAGTGAATTGTCTACACTGAGAGAATGACACGTCTTCTTTTTCCTTCTTAAGGGAAAAAACCACTTTTTGGCAGCATGCACGCATCCATCTTCACATCTCAAGTTCTGCAGCCATACTGAGTACTAACAAACACAGACTGTAACTCTGCTTTTATTAACTATTTCAGTTGCTATGCTTCTGTTAGTTTGTTAGTTGAACAGTTCGCGTTGGATGATGAACAACTGTTCAGTAGGACAGCAGGGAGGTATTGCTGCTTTTGCTCAATTTGCCACTGTATGTTCCTGCTCATCCCTGGTTTTGTCAGTCTATAAAGTCTACATCCAAGCCAGCTCTTCCATTCAGTCTTAGTGGGAATGTATGAGAGGGCTGGTACGTAGTCACCTATAATCATTTAAGTTTCTAATTACTGCAGAGTGCTATCAACATTTCCTTCTCACCCCTGAATTGCAGAGTGGTCTAAAAGGGAATTTATGATCCTTTTTTTTCAGAATGGAAAACAGTTTTGCTGAAAATGCACAGTAATTGTCAGAACATGCACAGCCTATTATTTTTCCAATACATTGAGCAGAACCATTCCCAAAGGAACTATAGCCAGTTGCTAAGACAGAAAATACCAAGTTTCAGTACAAATGTTACCAACTTGCAAAACTCAAAAACTAGTGAAAGAGGCGAGCAGCTGCATTGGTCACGCTGTCTTAAACATTCAGCAAAACAAAACAAAACAAAAAAGGGGAAAAAAAAAATCCAACTACAGAGGATACGATTTTACCTACTGAGACTTGCACATAAGTTCGAATATGGATTTCATTTTGCTTTCTACCTGGAAATTTTGGAACAGACATGCCATGGGGTTGGGGTTGTTAGCTGGGCCAGGAATTGGGGGCTGGCCTTGAAAGCCCTGCATGTTCTGATACCCCTGGAGAAGGTGCTGTTGCTGCTGATTTGAAGGAAACATCTGATTGTTGTTTAATAGTGACTGGAGATGACTCAGTTGATGGTTATTCAAAGTAGTGTTTATAGATGACATGTCACCTGTAATTCAAACACAGGGAAACGTAAGTCAGTACACTTTTCAACAAGCAGGAGGAATTTCCTCAGCTCAAATTTCGACTGAGCGCTAAGCAAATGCCTGTGTAAAACCACACTTTTCCCCTTCAATCTTCTATGGAACGGTCCTCAAGGCATGCGTCTCCTACTCCTTATTCCTTTATTTCTTCAGTTTTGCTTCTTTTGCATGTCACATCTATCTGGACTCTAACAGTTTCTGACACGACTATCTTTGCTTTTGGAACGGTACAGAGCCAAGTATGGCACAATGAGCTTCTATGATACTCGGTGTCTTGGGATCTTACTCCTAGTTTCCAAAGAGTGACTGCTTCAAACAGTACTGAGGTGGTGAGGGGGGGAGAGGAGGAGGAGAGAGAGAGAAAAAAAGAGAAAATAATTTAAAAACCCCAACAAAACTATTTGTTGCATTAGCTACGACAAAATAACGCGATCTAGTTGCAAGTGAGCAAAGGCTTTTTGGATCACAGACACGTCACACCATACCCTAGGCAATTTTTTTAAACATTCTAGAGAAATCACTGCACTGACATTTTGTGCAATATGAAAATCTCACTGTACGTAACAATTCTGGTTTTACTGGAGTATACATGGCTGGGAAGTAACAAAGCTTTGGAATGTATCAATTTACAAGCTTTTTTCATGTAAATTTAATGTTTTCCTTAAGATTTGCATTTGCATCATCTCTGGTTCGCTGTATCTGACATGACATAGGTCAAGGAGGGTTTGACTTCCTGGTAGCCATTTAGCAAGTAGGCATGAGGGTTCCACACTTATCAGCTCTGCCAGTATTTTTTCCTCCTCCTGCTGCAGTCCAAACAGCAGAGGAGTACTGCCCACACTACGTATTCTAGGAAAAAATCATCAAAAGTCATGGGTGAAAACCTCATATTTGAGGACTTTAGCACTTGGTTTGGGCTGTCGGTTCTTGTCAGTGAAACACCCTGGCCACCTAAGCTCCAAGATAAAGTTAAAAAAAAACCCACCAGAGAAATGAGGAAACATAAACGCACAACAAAGGGCTCAGAAGGGCAGCCTTCCTCTTTGAACTTGCAAAGCTTCGAGTGCTCGATGTATCTGCTTTACAGGCAGTGTGCTTTCTGATGGCTTTGGCACTTCTGATTCATTTGGAAAGCGGTGCTTGGCCGTTTCTCACCTACTGCACAGCTACTCGTACTAACCCTGTGATGCCACACGCCCTTGAAATGAAGCACTGCATCCCAGAGATGCACCTATGCTTGAAGACTTGAAAAATGAACCAAGTCCACTTGATTAGAGAACTGTAAGGTGTATGCAGTCGGTGTAGGTGGCATCAGAATTAAGAATAGAATATAAAATAATTTCCAAAACCAGTATTAAATCTTATTGAATAGAATTAGAATATAGTTCAAATGCCGTACAGGAGCAATTATAAACAAGCTGTAACATACAAAAGCCTTACAAAAAAGTATGATAAAGTGTCATCTTTAGAAACTAGAATCAGAAATTCCCCCACCCCACCCCTCCTTACTTTTCCTTTTATATCTGTGAAGAAATTGAACTTACCAAGCAGACCTGTCCCCAGTAGAGGGTTAAGTAGCTGTGGCACCACAGAGTTACTGTTGAGTTTAGCTGGACCAGATGTATTCCCAGCATTATTAGATATGTTCAGCAATGTTTCTGCCATTGACACCACTGCTGTCCCACCACCCAGGGTAGAGACAGACAGTGCTGCCACTGCTGATGATGTAGTGGTTGTGGTAGTGGTTGCTTGGGAGGAGGTGGCTATGGAAACCTCTGGATGATTAGCAGTGTTGCCCGATGCAGAGTTCAGGACACCTCCCACCAGCTGGGGATTCAAGGCCATTAATGCTGAGGCCCCAGAGACAGCTGGGAGGAGCAGGGGGTTAGAAGTAGTGTCAGTGCCTGAAAAGCTTGGTAAAGGGTTCCCCAAGGGGTTGCTTAAAAGGGTCTCAACCCTGTTGCTTTCTGACTGATTGCTTGGCAAATGGTCAGGTGGGGCTGTCATCTGTGTTACTGAGGGCAAAGGGTTATTTTGCTGTTGCAACAAATCTGAGATGGTCAGATTGAAAGATGGTAGGGGAAGCATGGCAGCTGCTTGGGCTTGGTTCTGGAGGAGGGTTGCTAGAAGCTGAAAATGAACAGGCTGTAATACCTGCCCATCCACGTCACTGGAGAGAAAAGCTAAAGCAGCATTTACATTCGGGTTGAGAAAACCTAAAGGGTTGAGGTTGACCTCAGACTTGCCTTCTCCTGCTGAAGGCTGCAGTATATTTAATAGATTCTGGCTTAGGAGATGTTGCTGATTCACTGGCAAAGAGATAGGTAGAGAACTGAGGAGGTTTTGATTCAAAGAAGGTGGAAGATTGTTGTTTGAAGAGCTGTTCTGCGGGAAATGAAGCGAGTGTTCGTGGCCAGCGAAAGGGAAATCACCCCCAATGGGCAGCTGGCTCTGAAGTGGGTTTCCAGCTGCAGTAGTGACTATAACACCATCTTGAAGAACAGATGTTGTCTTGGTGATGGCAGGTTGGCTGGTGCCAGCTATGGCTATTGATGATGATGGTCCCGAACCCCCTGCAATGCAAAAGAACAAGAATATTAAGAGTATGCTGCCTGCTGGGAGACAGTCATCCAAGTCATAAAGTAACTGGGCCAATCCAAAACAGCAACGTTGGATACAGGAAAAAAAAAAAACGTTTTGAGCATCAAAACTTAAAATACAAAGGAATCTGCATCAGCTACTTCATTAGTACTGGCTGTGCACATCTCATCAGCAATTCTTTAACACGCCTGTACTTCTCTCACATGTCTCTGAATGAGGATTTAAGGGGATCTCAGTCATACAAGTGTTGGCCAGTGTAAAACTAAAAGCAATCATAGCTCCATTTACATCATGATGGACCAATACTAAATTAACTGCCAGGATGAAATATCAAGGTGAGACATGAATGAAAAGTAAATGACCCAAGTGCAACTGTGAAACTTATGCTCTTCTGAGAGAATTAAAGCAAGTGAAATTACTTTGAACCACACTCTTCTTTATTCACATTGCAATGCATTGGAGAGCAAACAGTAAGAACATGTATGGAAAGTACATTAGAAAAATGTAAAACTAAAGAAGGATTAAATTGGGGCTTTGATGCAATAAAACTATTTTCCATTCTCAATTGCCCTGAAAACACAGCTGATACAAAACCACCTTGATTATCTGAAAGTGTCAGTTATCATTTTTCTAAACAAATACTAGCTGGAAAGGGACATGCAGCCATGCCTTCAATTGGCATGAGCAGAATCCAATCTTCATGTCACTCCTAGCTCAAAATACCATTTTTTTCAAGTACTGTAACGTACTGACTACTCAAAAAGGTGCAAAACTAACACAGCTCATGAGGCATTGCACTGATTGCATGAGAAGAAAGTCCATATGCTCTCTTGCAGGTATCACTATGACACTTCTATAAAGAAATCAGATAATAAATTAACAAAAGACGAAGTAAGTGCAGACTAATTAAAAAAGCACAAGGTATCCTATTCTGCTGTGAGGAGAAACATGTTAACAAGGCAATGAAACCAGCTTTGTGACAAGCACATTTCTCTGGGCAGCTGCTTGGAACTCGGAAAGGAGAAGCACCTGAGGATAACAAAACAAACCATGCACTGAAAACATACATCCCACTGCAGTCCCACTTATGGCTTTGCATTTGGAATTGCAGATGATGCAGGAATGGAGGTACTGCATTGAGCCAAGATTTGGTAAAGGCCAGATCTTTGCAATTGCACTTGCATTTATTTCTAACGCAGCCATACACTCTGGTTACTCCAATTCAATGAGGAAATCCCAAAGAATCCAAACTGCCTGTTTCCTTTTGCACTCATCTCCAAAGCACTGTACAATGCATTTTTGGAGAAGTTATATAAACATCTTTAAGATCTCTGTGGCTAAAAGCAAATTCCTCTTGTTTCATTGGTGAAAAGACTTTTACAAGACTCCCAAACACTGCGGGCAGGTTTGTGGCAGACCAGTACACCCCAGGGACGATGGCAGTGCACATTAACTGACAGATGCTGCTCTTCAGGGAGGATGAGGCACTGGGACAAAACCTTCTTGCTTACAAAACAAAGGATGGGTTTGTTTGCTTGTTTGTTTGCTTTTGTGGGTTTTTTTTGTTTATTTTCCAATCGGGTACTTTCTCCAGCTGTGATCTACCTTACAAAGGACCGACACCACACAAATATCTTCACACGGCCTTCTCCATAAGAACTCATGTCATGCAGCACAGGCTACCTCCAGTTCAGCCTCAGGGACAGGAACAGTCAGATATACTTGGCTTCCTAATGCACGGTACTGTTCCAGGCTGCATTTGTGTATGGAACCCTTTACCTGGCAGCAGGAACAGAGACACACACCCAAGGTTTTTGCTCAGCAGATGAGGAAGGCTTCCCTCACCACTAACAACCACACCACGTGCTAAGCAGCACATGGAGAGATTTTTTAATTCAGGCATGCCGAAACTCTTCTACACACAGTGTATACTCATGAGTATCAAACCTAATTTTGGTACTTTCAAATGGACCTAATCCTTATTCCGAATTATTTTTCATTTATGATCTTATTTTTCATACCACAGAGGTAAACGATCACACAATCACCTGCAAGAAAGCAAAGCCCAGACTCAGAAAACTGTTGCTTTAGGATTCTGTCTGTGCACTGGTCTGCTTTCTATCCCACATAAAGCTTCTGGAGACCTAATCTGAGAGGTGCAGAGCAACGCTTGTCCTCTCTCCAGATTAATTAGGCAATTGATTGCTACTGAAAAAAAGTCTTGATGGATTCTGAGCAGAAGAGAGGGATGTGCATGAACTGCAGCCAGGACTTGAGAAGCTGGAGAGCCACAGAGGGGATGAGCAGAAGAAAAGAGGAGAGCATCACTGCCTGCTGCAGTTGCTGTGAAGCTGCCCCGGGCACACAGACACCCCAACAGGCAGGAAGGCTTCTGGTTGGTACTGAGGAGTTCTGCACTGGGCAGCTGCTAAAGCAATGTTTGGAACACCTGGGGCAGGTCTATCCACACACATGGACTGAAGCACCAGAACAGTTTCTGGATCTCTTCCAAAACACCACCTCCTCCGAGCCAACGTTTCAATGAAGGATACGTGCACAGCCATCCTCGCTGAAGCCCAGTGTGGCTGGAAAGCTCCTCAATGCTTGGCCCCAAACCAAAAGACAACATCTGAGTTATTTTTTTCCCTTCCAAAAGACGGATAGCTTCCGTAACTGCGATTCACAGCACTGCAGCAAGAAGGAGCACCTTCCTTGGAAGGACCGAGGTGAGGGGTAGTCCAGACCTGTCCCTCCCCTGTCACACACCAGACTCTCAAGGCCCAGGACGAACATGAGTTTGGCTGACAAAGAGAAAAAAGTGATGGCCCACACCGCAAGTGAAGGTGTGAACAGGTCAGCAAAGCAGCAAGGAAAAAAGCCACGTACCTCATCAAAGTGCCTGTGGAAAGGACTGCCAGCACGACAGAAGCAGAGTCCTAATAAGTCTGCCCTTTCGACTGGGCAGTAGCAACTGCAATATAGAACTGACTCAGCTGTCCTTTGAGGTCTGACTCTCATCCACAGTGATACGCAGGCTATACAGATGCAGTATTTGCTGGGAGTTTCAAAGAGGGAAGGCTGACAGTGAAGACCAAACATAGATGTCAGCTAAAAAAAGCCCCTTTGCATACGAGCTGCCTCGCTCAGCAATGCTGCTGGGAAACCGAGGCTGTAATAATCCTGACTGCTTCCATTCACAGAGAGAACAGAACCCAGAGCTCCAACATGAAATGCTGCCTTCGTGCCATACCCAAATTCCAGTGACAGTTAAGATGTTCTGATGAGAAATGTGAGAGTCCAGAGCTGAAGGGAAGTGACAGGTTTCCTAAGAACATGGTATTCTGAATCCTGGATACCCAGGGCATCGTAAATGTTAGCCCAGAAACAGGAGTCCTTGCTATAAGCTCTTAAGAGTAAATATAGAGTGAAACAAAGAATGAAGACTTGCACTAAAAGTTGTAAAAGCCCAGGACGACTGCAGGCTTTCAACTCTTGCAGACACAGATGTCTGCAGAACTTCTGCCTGTGGTTGAGAGGAAGGGACTGTCTTTGTAATGCACCGAGAACAAATATCCAGAGAGCAAGAGCTAGAATAGATATATATCCATTCTTCTAGAAGTTCAAATAAATGCTTTGGGAATAAATTAATTTGAAATTGAATAAGGCACACATTTTTAAAATCATTCCTTTGTGGCTACACTAGTTTGTTCACGTACATTTCTGTTTTGTTTTCTTTTGAAAGCAAGTTGATTTTCCTATGTGGATTTCATCTTTGCTCCTTAGTTTTTTTTTTCCCAACTCTTGTTTGAGAGGTATTCTCAAGCAGATGCAGCACGTAATGAAATCAATTAGCACTGAGAAGACTCGCTCCCTGCCCAGTTAAAAACATTAGAAGATATTTATCATTTACTTGTTCCGCCATGAAAACACTGGCACACATCTGTGCATGTGCTGCTGTAGGGATGGAACAATGCAGTCAGAGGTCTGCAGTCTTGTCGTGAATCCTGCTTTTTAAACAGAGCTAAGATCCACGATGTGAATAATACTAAGCATGGCAAGTTTCAGAGGAGGCCTTAGGGCCACCCAGCCACGTGCCAGGCCTCCAGAAGTTACATCAGTAGGCAGTGAGGACTACTGTCAGCCTAGAGACACAGCACACAGCTGGCATACGTGGCAGTATCTTTAAATAGGCAGTTTTAGGAGGTTTACCTTTCACAGAACGATCATCGCTAATGGAAGCAATGTGATCTCACATCCCTTTACAACTGGGGACGTCTGCCTGCTTTAACTCCATATTCCATCACTTACCTATGCACTCAGAACCAACAGCTATACATTCCTGTAATTATATTCTCTGCATTTCTTTAGAATGGAAAACATTTAAGATACTTATCTGCTATCGCATCCATCCTGGTGCTTTCAATTCCAAAGAAGCCACAGTTCAGCAGTTAACCACAAACCACCGATGGCTGGGTTCCTTATCAAGATCCTCTGCTCCCTTGAGACAACAGAAACAACGAACCCAGGGCCGATAAATGGAGTGCTCCTCCCAGGCCAGCAGGATCAGGCAGAGCCCAGCCTCCTCTCGTGTACAAGGACAAGACTGTGCTCTTCTGCTCTTCTGTTCATTTAAGGATGAAAATCACTCAGGACTACAGCATGAGGTCTCTGCATCCTCTGAACACAGACTAAACCAAGACCATTAAAATTTTGTACAAGGGCAGAACGCCCAAAGCAGTTTTTAGGACAACATAAATGCTTGAAATTAGGTACCTTAAGTGCCTGAATCAATTTCAATCTTGGTTCTTTTTACTGCCCTTGTGTGTTCTGACTTCTCCTCCTCTACAGTTTATCATCAGTGCTGCTTTTAAAATAACAGAATCACAGAACCACTCAGGTTTGAAAAGACCTTAAAGATCATCGAGGCCAACCATGTCCTAAATATCCTACCCTAACCAACAACCTTCTGCTA